GAAGCTCCCGAGGAGTTCTCAGGTGTAGCTTTGAGCGCCTGCCGAGAGTTTCATTACATAGGCGCGACTGACTAAGGATAGCCAGGGCTGATAGTGCAATACATTGCGCCGCCACCTGGCAGAGAGAGAGAGAGAGAGTGATCGATAAAGAGGGATCGAGAGAGAGAGGGAGAGAGATAGGGCTATGGCGCCCTGCCGCCTCATTCTCCTCCTCTCTCCTCGTTGTCCTCCTCCTCCACCCTTCTTCCTTATAAATAACTATCTGCCGCACCCTGAGACGTGTCGGTAGGGCGGGGCGGGCGGTTCGCCTCAGATTTCCGCATCATGTGTGATCGAGTCACTTGAAATTTGCATCAGCTTCCCGGGGGGAGGGCGGGCGGTGTTCAAACTGTGGCTCTCGCCTTAGCGCCGCGCACATTCATTTTTTTCAGTTTGCAGGAGCTTCGAGGATGGAGGGCGGGTCTTCTTCAACACTTGGCTCTCGCCTTAGCGTCGCGCACATTCATGTTTTAAGTCTGCAGGCGTTTCGAGGATTGTGGGCGGGGCTTTTTCAGCAGTTCGCCCTTGCCTTAGCGCCGCCCCCAATTCGTCTTGACAGTTTGCAGGGGCTTCGAGGATGGAGTGCGGTGCCTTTGCAAAGTGCGGCTCTCGTCTGAGCGATGCGCACGTTTTGCTGAACCGGTTGCATGCGTCTCATACATGGAGGGCGGTTCCTTGTCAAACTGCAGCTCTCGCCTGAGCGCCTCGCACATGTGCCTTTAACAGTTCACAGCAGTTTACGGAGTGTTATGGCTGGCGCCTCAGAAGAGGTGTCATGATGCGATTTAGGATTGTCAGGGCGCGCCAGCTGTGTTGATACGCTGCGTTGACGTCACAGAACATGTGTTCTGGTGCTGGCACGATTTAGGGTTGTCAGGTCGCAGCGGTGACGTTGAATCGCGGCGTTGAAGTCCCCAGAGTGGTGCTTTGGCACGGTTGAAGATTTTTACCTAACAGCGAAGACTGATAGGCTTCTAGTAGGGTCAAAAGAGAGCATCATGACTCCCCAGGAGGGTCCGGGCAGGATCCGGGGGGATGCCGGGGAATTCGTTTCAAGCAAACAGTAACGCACTTCGTGGTCTTCGAGTTCCCAGAACTCCATTCCTGGGCATGATTTTGAATGCCCGGAGCCAACTGTAGGCCACTTCGTGTTCTTCGTGTTCCCAGAAAACCATTCCCGGGCCACATGTTGAATGCCCGGAGCCAACTGTAGGCCACTTCGTGTTCTTTGTGTTCCCAGAACACCATTCCCGGGCCACATTTTGAATGTTGACGCAGGCTGATGCTGAGGCTGAGGCAGGCTGAGGCTGAGGCAGGCTGAGGCTGAGGCCGAGGCTGAAGGCAGACTGAGGCTGAGGCTGAAGCAGGCTGAGGCTGAGGCTGAGGCAGGCTGAGGCTGAGGCTGAGGCAGGCTGATGCTGAGGCAGGCTGAGGCTGAGGCTGAGGCTGATGCAGGCTGAGGCTGAGGCAGGCTGAGGCTGAGGCCGAGGCTGAAGGCAGACTGAGGCTGAGGCTGAAGCAGGCTGAGGCTGAGGCTGAGGCAGGCTGAGGCTGAGGCTGAGGCAGGCTGATGCTGAGGCAGGCTGAGGCTGAGGCTGAGGCTGATGCAGGCTGAGGCTGAGGCAGGCTGAGGCTGAGGCCGAGGCTGAAGGCAGACTGAGGCTGAGGCTGAAGCAGGCTGAGGCTGAGGCTGAGGCAGGCTGAGGCTGAGGCTGAGGCAGGCTGATGCTGAGGAGGCTGAGGCTGAGGCTGAGGCTGAGGCTGAGGCTGCAGGCTGAGGCTGAGGCAGGCTGAGGCTGAGGCCGAGGCTGAAGGCAGACTGAGGCTGAGGCTGAAGCAGGCTGAGGCTGAGGCTGAGGCAGAGGCAGGCTGAGGCTGAGGCAGGCTGATGCTGAGGCAGGCTGAGGCTGAGGCTGAGGCTGATGCAGGCTGAGGCTGAGGCAGGCTGAGGCTGAGGCCGAGGCTGAAGGCAGAGGCTGAGGCTGAGGCTGAAGGCAGGCTGAGGCTGAGGCTGAGGCAGGCTGAGGCTGAGGCAGGCTGAGGCTGAGGCCGAGGCTGAAGGCAGACTGAGGCTGAGGCTGAAGCAGGCTGAGGCTGAGGCTGAGGCAGGCTGAGGCTGAGGCTGAGGCAGGCTGATGCTGAGGCAGGCTGAGGCTGAGGCTGAAGCTGAGGCAGGCTGATGCTGAGGCAGGCTGAGGCTGAGGCCGAGGCTGAAGGTAGACTGATGCTGAGGCTGAAGCAGGCTGAGGCTGAGGTTGGGGCACGCTGAGGCTGAGGCAGGCTGAGGCTGAGGCTGAGGCTGAGGCAGGCTGAGGCTGAGGCTGTGACTGCGACTGCCGTTGCCACTGCGACTGTCATCGCGAATGCGACTACGATTGCGAGAACAGCAGAATTCTACAACTGGATTCGCATCTGAATAGTAAGGGGAATGTTTCCAGATATGCTCCTACACATCGCTGTTGGGTTGCTTTGCCGGGATAATCAAACAGTTCTCGCCTAACGGGATTCTTCCCGCAATGAAATCGATCTGTATAGGAGCTTCTGAAGAGGTATCTTGGAGGAAAGGTTTATTGCATCGTTGTTGATGAGTCTTGTGTCTGCACTGGTCCTCTTCCTCCTTCTCCTCCTCCTCCTCCTCCTCCGTGACTCCCGTGGTGCCATCATTGTTCTCGGCCCTCCGCGAAGTCTTTCTCGTAGTCCTCGTCGCCCTCGTCCCCCCCACCCCAAACAGGGCTCGTTTCGTTTCCTCCGATTCGATTCGATTCGATTTCGATGGCTTCCGACTCTCATTCGATTCGACGTGAGATTCCGATCCGGATTCCGACTTCTCCGTGGAGGCTTCCTTTGCCTGCCACTTTCTGCCGAGTCCGCTTCTCCCGACGCGGCCGCCAGCTGCTGCCGATCCGATTCACCGATTCGATTCTGGACTCTCCTGCCGCATCGGCGAGCCCCTCCTCCCTGCTGCCTTCCTCGCCGTCCTCCCCCTCGCCCTCGCCCTCGCCCCCGTCCTCGCCCTCGCCCTCGCCCTCGCCCTCGCCCCGCCCTCGCCTCCCCCCCCATCGCAGATCCCCTTCGGCGGCCTTCCCTCCCCTCCCCTCCCCTTCAGGATCCCTCCCTCCACCCCCCTTCCTCGAGTATTCCCGCTTCGTCCCGTCGGGTTCCCTCCCTTCCCCTCCCCTCCTCCCCATCCCGCCAAGTCTCCCTCCCTCCAGTTTCCATCCGTCCCTCCCCTCAGGAGGAGGAGGAGGAGCAGGAGGAGGAGGAGGAGGAGGAGGAGGAGGAGGAGGAGGAGGAGGAGGAGGACAAGATCCCCTCCCTCTTCGTCGGCCTTCCCTCCCTCCCTCACTCCTCCTGGTGCCTGTGCGTCGAGCCCCTCGCTTCTGCGGGACCCCTGGTGTTTTTCCCAGCCAGCCCTGTTTGGGCTGCGGACTGGGGCTATATGGGCTCCACCTTCCCCTGCTGTCTTCTCGTCGACAGGCAAGAAGTGGATACACGTTGCGACGGACAAGGAGGCATTGTCGGCACTGGAGCCGAAATTTCTGGCGTGGGCGCGCGAAACTCCAACACCACGGCCTGAGTCCCCCCCCCTCCTCCTTGGCCCCCCCTCGCTTTGTATTTTTTCGCGGCGCTCCGGCGCCACCGCCGGGCTCTCGTAGTGCCGTTCCCCGGGACGACTGGCTGGCGCATCGCTTCGCCTCTCTAGGCCTCCCAGATGGGGTCGGAGTATATGGGGACGGAGGATCGCGCCGCATCGCCGATGTATCGACGATGCGGCTCGATGCGGATTCCGATTTTCTCCACGCCGACGTCGCCGACGCGTCGCTGGCGTCACCGTTGCATTGCCGATGCATTGGCGATGCGCCAGGATCCTCCGACCCCACCTATTCGGACCCCATCTAGGAAGCCTCTAGCCTCGCCTCGTCTTCTCATCGAGGAGCTCTCGCGAACTTCCTGACCTGACTTGTCCTGCCCTCCTCCTCCCATCGCCGTCCCTGTCGTCGTCCTTCGTCCTCCTCGCCGTCGTCCTCGCAGCCCTCCCTGTCGTCGTCCTCTCCTCCTTGTCCTCAATGTTGTCGTTTTTCCTGTCGTCGTCCTCCCTGTCGTCGTCCTCTCTGTCGTCGTCCTTCCCGGCTTCCCAGCTGCAGACGAGTCGGTCATCCGCACGTTTGGGTGGGGCGCTCGGCCCCGGCGTGTGCCGTGGCACCGAAGGCGGCGAGTAACCGTCGACGAGGCGAAGCCGACCGTGCGACCTTGTCGTCGGCGTCGTTTACATTCGTTGGGGCCTCCTTGTGGCCTCCGTCACCACGGCTGGACTTCCTTCTCGCCCTCTTCCTCCCCGTCCGCCGTTGCATCGGGGAGGCCACCAGGGGGGAGAATAGGGAAAGGGGGAACGAGCGAGTGAGAGAGAGAGAGAGAGGGAGAGGGATCTCTGGAACATTAGTTGATATAGCGAGGCAGAGGGGTGATCTGTCATAGAGAGAGGCACGTAGCTATATCTGTACGTATATGTATATATAAAGAGAGAGAGAGAGAGAGCGACAGAGAGAGAGAGAGAGAGAAATAGTGAGAGAGAGAGAGAGACAGAGAGAGCGGGGAGACTCGTGAGCGCATGTATTTAACGTCATGTAATGTAATGCGACGTCATGTAGTGTAGTGCGATGTACATATAACGTAATGTAGTGTTGTAGTGGGATGCACCGTACTGTATTGTAAGGTAGTGTGACGTAGTGTAGTATATTGTAACTTAGTGTAATGCGGTGTAATGTGAGGTGATGTATTAGCATGGCGTGTGATATATTGTGATGGATGGGATGGAATGGGATGTAATGCCATGCAAGGTACGGCCATGTAGCAACATACGTGTGTACATGCATGGTTTGATGCAGGCATGTTCGAAGGCATGCTCGTACGATTGTGTGGTTGTATGCTTGTATGTTTGTGTATATGGCTGGTGTGAGATGGTCCGTATCATCTTAGCTCTGCGCGGTATCTAGACGTTTGGCCGTCTGGGACATTGTGCATGGTCTGCCGACCAGAGTCGGGATCCCACTCTGTCTCTCCGCACCCGTTGGGGCTCAAAGGCTTGAGGCGCGAGCGCGAGCGCTCGCGGCGGATGGCAGGGGCTTTCTGGATCGCGAGGCTGCAGGCGGTGGGGCTGGTCACTTAGCCATGCTAGCCAGTGTCCCGCGGCGGAGGCAGGGGCTTGCAGCTTGCTGAGTCCCAGCGGGCTGGTGTCCTTTCTCCTCGGGCGGCTCGTCGTCGCCAGCGTCACTTCGGGGCTCGTGGTGCTCGTGACGCGATGGGTTGTGACGGCGGGCGGGTGGGCGATGTGGTGGAGCTCGCCAGGGCGGCGACGGTCACCAACGACTCGATAATGGGACTGGCGCTCCTCTCGAATGTCTCGCGGGGGTTCGTGGAGCGGCTCCGCGAAGGTGAGGCGCGGGGCGAGTGCCTCAGTCGGACGGCAGGTCGCCGTGGAGACTCAGAGAATGGACTTGACTCCCGCGCGCTGCCCGTCGCCCGCAACACTTCGCGTGTGCGACAGAGGTTCTGGAGAGAGACGGTGGCCAACATGTCGCAGGTCGCGTTCAGTGAGTGGTTGCTCCCTTGCCCTCGAACCGTTGACTGGCGCACCAGCTTCGCGGCGCCGTTGGCGGGTGACATCTCCGCGCGCAGGTCTCGGAGTTCCACTGCACGAAGAGGGGCAGGGCCAGCGCCGGCAGGGATCGGGGGCCAGGGCTGTCGCGTAAGCGGGTAGCTTATTTCGCGGGGGCCCGTCGGCTCGGCGGGCAGGCGGTGATCTGCCCGGAGCCGGTCGAGCGGGCGTCCGAGGAGATCGAGGGAAGCGACGGGGGGGGCAGGGATGAGGAAGGGGGGGAGGCGATGATTGGGGGGGGGGGGGGCGAGCGATTCAGCCAAGCCTCCTCCCTCGACTCTTCCTCCTCCTCTTCCCTCGCTCCTCGCTCCTGCTCCCGCCTCCTCCTCCCCCCTCCTCCCTCCTCCTCGCTCGTCCTCCTCCTTCCCGCCCTCCTCCTCCGCCTCCCTTTCTCTTGTTGTTGTCCTTCCTGTTCGGTCCCCCTCTACCTCCCTCGCCCGCCTCCTCCTCGCCCTCGTCTCCCCCTGCTTCCCTTCCCCTCCCCTCTCCTGCTCCATTCTTCCCTGTTCGGTCGTCGTCGTCGTCGTCGCCTCCCCCTCCCCCTCCCCCTCCCCCTCCCCTCCCCCTCCCCCTCCCCCTCCTCCTCCTTTTCCTCCTCCTCCTCCTCCTCCTCCTCCTCCTCATCCTCCGTTTCTCCCCGCAGGGTCGGGGGCGCCTCGTCGTCGTCGACCTCTGCTTCGGCGCCCTCTCCATCGCCGCCGCAGACAGTGGTCGAGGAGTTGACGCGAGCAGGACTTACCATCAACGAGGGCAAAACAGCGGCGTGGACCCGAGACCCAGCGACGCTACTTTCGCTGCTTCTCGAAACTTTGCGGACACCAGCTCTCCGCTGCTTGGGGGCCACCGCGCCCTGGGTGGAACCGGAAGACCCGCTGGCGAGGCTCGCAGTCCACGGGCAGGCTGACGGCGACGAGGCCGTGCGGGCCGCAGAGCGATTGGTCACCCGACTCCAGGAACTGCAGGGCGCCGGACTCGGGGCGAGGGAGAGCTTCTGGCTGCTCCAAACCTACAGCAACGGCTGCGTCACGCATCTGCTTCGCGCAAACTAGGAGGACGGGGACTGAGTCACCAGGCTCGACAGGACACTCACACAGTTTAACGGACTTCCTGGGCGACGCCCTCGACGACCACTTGCTGGCGCAATGCTTCCTCAGGTTGACCGACGGGGGCCTCGGGCTTGCCTCGGCCGCGCAGGCGGCGGCCGCCGCCTACCTGGGCAGCTGGGCACTAACCCTCCATGGCGTGGGCGCCTGCCTGCATGAACCCTCCTGGGCGCGGTTCAAGGAGCGCTGCCCCTTGGTGGCCGAGGCCATAGCGAGGGCAGAGACCCGGCTACAGGCGCAGAGCGGGAGATCTCTCCAGGCCGTCGACTGGACCGGCTGCATGGGCGAACCGTTGGAGGGGATGCAGGGGAAGTGGGCGGGCGACCTCCGCAGCAAGGAACGCGAGCGGCTGCTGGCCTCCCTCGGAGCAGGGGGCAGGGTTGACTTCCGCTCGTCTGGCGGCCCTGGCGCAGGTGGGTACTTGGAGCCGCCCGTCGTCCGAGAAGGAGAGATGCACCTGCTCAAATGCCAGACGAGCGCTTCCGCGTTGCCCTCAAGGACAAGCTGCGCCTGCCGGCGCGCCCGCCGGGCGCGAGCTGCAATCTGCGCAAAGCCGACGGGGCGCTGCGTAGGGGGGCACTTGACCGACGCCGGCGCCACGCCCTGAAGTGCCCGTGTGGCCCCTACCGCAACCGCAAACACAACGGCCTCCGGGACTTCTGCGCAGGCTACCGCCAGCGGACCACAGGACACGCAGCGCAGACGGAGCAACGGGTCGTTGCTTGGGACAGGGTGGACCCGCGGACAGGGCGCCTTGAAGAAGCGCGGCTCGACGTCGCCACCCGCGACGCAGTGGCCGGCCAGGCGGTGTTCTTGGACACGAGCGTGACCTGCGCACACAGCGGCACCGCGCCGCGCCAGCAGGTCCGCTCCAACAAGGACGGCCTTGCCGCCACTAAAGCCGAGGACGCCAAGCGGGAACGCTATCCGCCCGAAGGGGGCCATATCTTCCCTGTGGTCTTCGAAACAGGGGGCTGCCCGGGTGACGCCACCGCGGCGCGCGTCCGCTCCTGAGGCCGCGACGTGGCCCCCGCGGAGCGGACAGAGGTCATCCGCTATGGCTGGCAACAGCTGAGCACGGCGCCTCGCGCGACCTGCCGGCGGAACCGGTCATCGCTCGAGGTCAAGTCGAGAGGCCGCTGGCACGGCGACGCCATGCTGGAGAGGTGCGGCAAGGGGGCGGGGTTTTGGCGGAGCTCCACGCGGCCCCGACCGCCGCGCTCGAGTTCGGGCGCCAAGTGGCCAGCCGACTCCAGGCCGTCTTCCCGGAGCGCGAGGGGCCGCCGCCTGTGCCGGCCCCCCCGGAGGCGCAGCTGACCGATCGGGGCGTTTGGGCGCGGGCGCGCCGAGCGTCGAGGGACGCGCTGGCCAGCGTTTGGGGGTCAACCAGGGAGTTTTTGCTAAGAGCTTTACGCCGGCCAGGGAGGCATGTCAAAGGCTATGCGAAACCCCGGTTTCGGGGTCGTGGCCGTCGATATTTTGCCGAAGAAGGTAGCGATGGGGGTGGGTCGCGGGCGGTTGTCGTCGGTCTCTGGATGAGGGCGCCCTGATCTTCCTGGCCCCAGGCGAGGCGCGGGCCGCCTGGAACTTGCTGGCGCCGCTTTCGAACTCCTTCTCATATCTGGGGCCTCCTGACTCCTGGGCCTCGAGGCGCGGGCCCAGCGGGCCTGCGCGAAAGGAAACGCGCAGCTCAAATATTGCTTTTCAGTCGTCCGTGCCTCCCGCCGCGTTCGCGTTCCCGTGGTTGTAGAGAACCTCAGTGGTAGCTGGATGTGGCACGTTCCTCCTCTCGCTCCCCTTCACCGGTTGCCAGATGGTCGCGCATGCATCGTCGATTTCTGTGCCTTCGGCACCCGCTGGCGAAAACGTGCGCGGGTCCAGGTCTTGGGTTCTAGCCTTCGTGTCAGGTTCCGTGGTCCGTGCCGTGGGCGATCAGGGATGTGCAGTTTTACAGCAAAGCGTCACATTGTGCTCACCGGCCGAGATCCGAGCTCGGGCGAATTGTGGACGAGAGTCGCTGAACCTTACCTGGTTCGGTTTTGTACGCTGCGCCCGGCTCTGCAGCAGGCTACTGGATATCTGCGTCTCTGCCGGCTTCGGCAACTTATAAATGGTGGTTAATACTGGGATCCCATTTGGGTTGATTTGGGTGTCTCCCATCCTCTCTCGTTCGGTGGTGTTGTGTTTGTGTTGTGTGTGTCTTTGGGGGGGCCGCCCTGTCCTGATGGTGACGTCGATGAGGGTGTTGCTGGTGATGATGTTGTTGTTGGTGCTTATGTTGATTGTGGTGGGGCTGATGATGATTAATGTGGATGCGGCTGCTGATATTGTTGCCGATGCAGATGCGGACGACGATGCTGATGACGATGATGATGGTGATTGCAATGGTGACGATGCCGATGGCGAGCACGATGCTGGTGATGATGTGGATGAGTATGATAATTCTGATGCTGATGATGGTGGTGTTGATGACGTTCATGATGGCGAAGAGAATCAACATGATGATGGTGATGGTGATGATGATGCTGATGTTGATGGTGGTATTGGGTTTGATGATGATACTGTCGCTGATGCTGGTGGTGTTGGTGATGATGGTGATGCTATTGGTGATGGTTATGATGATGTTGATGCTGAGGCACATGATGGTGGATATGGTGCTGATGATGATGGTGATGCTGATGTTGATGATGCACATGATGATGCTGATGATGATGATGGTGGTGGCGCGGATGATGATGATTGTGATGATGATGATGGTGATGATGGTGATGATGATGCTGATGATGATGATGATGCGGATGGTGCTGGTGATGATGGTGATGATGGTGATGATGATGACGATGATAACGAGTCGGATTCATGATGCGGATGTTGCTGCTGCTGTTGCTGATGATGATGTGGAGCGGGAGGATTGAGGAGGAGGAGGAGGAGGAGGAGGAGGAGGAGGAGGAGGAGGAGGAGGAGGAGGAGGAGAAGGGGGAGGAGGATAAGGAGGAGGAGGAGGAGGAGTGAGGCATAGGATCATAGGACAGATGACAGGCAGAGGAAAAGGGGAACGACGACGACGACGAGTGATGAACGACGACGCCTTGCAGGCCTCCACCCTCACCGACGAGCTCTCGCAGCTCATCAGGGAGCTTGCGCCTGAGGCGGAGGTCGCGCGCTCTTTTCGGGGGTTGCTAAAGGCACCCCTGGCCCAAGGTGTCGCCCCTCCAGCTTTTTGCTCCATTCTGGAGCCCCCTGGGGCCCTCTGGGCCTCGTGAGGGTTCTCTGGAGGGGGGGCCTCCTTTTGGAAATCCTGGGGGCACCTTGGGTCAGGGACACTTCTAGCAACACCCGATCTCTCTCTTTCTCTCTCTATCCCTCTCCCGCGCGGCTCCGGACACCGGCGGTCCTCCTGCTGCAGCTGCTCCCGCCTGCCTGCTCCCTTCGGCGACTACAGTGGATGTGGTTGCCAGGTTTGCGTCGTTGTGGCTGGGGGGGTGCCACGTTGCCCTCGTCGGGCCTCCTCGGTGTGCGGCGGAGAATCAGCTCATGTCCTCGCCCGCCCCCCACGGTGCGCGTTGCGAACCACACCTTTTGTGGACCACAACCTTCGGAGTCTCCGACTCCTGCCTCCTCCTTTTGTTGCAACTCCTGCTGCCCAGGGGCAACGAGAGCGGGGTAATTAGGCTCGAGGCTCGAGGTTGTCGGGCGTCTTCGTCGGTTATCGGCGGCCTTCCAGCCTCGGGACACTTTCCAGCAACTGCGCCTCGCCGAGAGCGTTTTAGGGGTGCCCGGATCGCCTCGAGCTGCCGCCGGAGCCGAGTTACGACCCGACAGGCAAGAGCAACGACAGGGGGGATTGGCTCAGATCCTGGCATCGCTCGGACGTGTGCGTTTTTTCCTCGGCGAGGACCATCGGGAAGCATCCTTGATCATTTGGCGAAAAAGCCACGCACGAAACCGAAAAACACACAGGGAATGGACGTCCGAGCGACGGCAAGAGATGGGAACACATCGGCCCCCAATCGCCTATTCGTCGTCGCCTGGGCCCCTGCAGCCCACCCCGCCCAGGAACGTGCGGGG